GTATATATGTATGTATATATGTATGTATATATGTATGTATATATGTATGTGTATATGTATGTATATATGTATGTATATATGTATATATGTATATGTACGTATATATGTATGTATATATGTATGTGTATATGTATGTGTATATGTATGTGTATATGTATGTATATATGTATGTATAACTTATTATTGTATGTATGTATGTATGTATGTATGTATGTATGTATGTATGTATGTATGTATGTATGTACGGTATGTATGTATGTATGTATGTATGTATGTATGTATGTATGTATGTATGTATGTATGTATGTATGCATGTATGTATGTATTTATGTATGTATTTATGTATGTATGTATGTATGTATGCACATATATACTAAAATTGTAGTACTTACAATCTCAGCAATGCATGCACTTAAACATTGACTTAACTGGCCTCTGCACAAATGCGCGCTTTTTTTGAAGGAAATTTGATTTGTAGAAAGCGGATCCTTTGTTGGAGCAACGCAGAGCAGATCTCATTCACACAGCAGCATCGCAGTTGGACAAAGCAAGTCTTATCAAGTACGATCGACGAAGTGGACTCATACAGGTTTGTATCATCCTTAGTTTTGCTTGAAATGACTCTAAGTATATGTATGTACGTATGAATCACGTAATAGTGGGGACTGGGTTTGATGATCAACGTATTTGATGTTTCGCGGCCATGAAAAAGGTAAAATCTGGTAAACATCTGGACATATTACTCGTTGTTTTGATAGCCTCCCGCTCCCCTTCTCTCTGCCCCGCTCATCCCGCCCCCTACCAGCTCCTTCGGGATGGAGATATATCAGTGAGTTGTGCTTGTCGGAAAGAAAATAGGCATGCAGATGATGTTCGAGAGGCGGCATGTGCTAACATATAGTTAAGGATAATGGGGTCTAACACAGTTGAAGTCAGCATGCGAGCTCGGTAACGGCAACAGTTTCGACGGCTTTTATGCGTTTTGTGCTGTGTAACAGCGTTACAAAACGCATATTGTCATGGGGTTTGTCTGTGTTTGTGTGTGTGTCCCACATTTTGTCCCGCACTTTCAACTCGGGAACCACAAAAGCTAGA